GAAAGACCAAGAGCATGTCTGTAAATGGGAATACGATGGAGAGTTAATAATGAACTTCTGGTAGAGCCCACTGTACATTCGGTCTTCTTGTCCCACCCCATCCCCTCCAAGCTAAGAGGCAGTTTCCTCTGGCCACACTCATAAACAGTGAGTTCATGCATCATTGTAATTTTACATGCATTCATTAGTCTACAAGGAATGCAATGCTCTTGCATGTTTGTTTTCACCGAATTAATAACATTTGGTTCTGCAGACCGAGTGTATTGTTAATTACTCTGAGTAGATTCAATGTTCTGTTAGGTTGGACCTTTCAATGGTGTTTGGATGAAAGCTGTTCTTAAACATGTAAAGCCTTTATGACAGCATGGCCCACTCGTGGTAGAGCAATAGTCTTTGAGAGAGTGGTCTTTTTCTATGTTGTAATTCTTCAGATGTGGCAAATCTGTAACATGGATGCGCATATTTAAGAAAACAGCATAAATTAAAAATTAAATTGGTCTGCTTTATGAGCATGTGATAGTTTAGGAGTGGTATTCTCCAATTGAGTAGTCCCACTAAAGCCACACAGCTGTTCGCTCCTCCTCCCCCTCTAACTGAAAGCACAAAAGGCAAGGATCACAGGTTGAGATAAGAGCAATTTACTGGAAACAGCAATGAGATAAGAAAATTAACAGTAACAATATTAATACTGGACTGGTGTTGCCCACCACACTTTCTTTCACCAGAAGGAATGCCCTTCTCCCTTAGTCCCACCCCTGGGCATGGTATCCAATAACATCTGGGCCTTAGCTGTTCCCCCCTCCTGACTACTGTAAAAAATTAACCCTGTCTTGGCTGAAACTGGGACAGAACAAGAGGTAACAATTCTTACAATGTAGGATTCACTGTGAGTTGCCTACAGATAAATCCTTTAAAGCTGAATAGAACTCCGTTTGATGAGTTAAGATCATCCTATTTCATTAATCTTTGCATTATGAACCATTCTTATAAAGTCTTGAACCATTCTTATAAAGTCTTATTGTGATGTTTGGCACCTGTGCAGAGTTTCAAATTGGCATTCTGAAGGGAGAGAAAGAAAATTGATTGGCTTGTGGGGTTTTTTTTAATGTATTCCTTCTGGCATTTTCTAATTTTCTGAGGTATGTTTGATTAAAACAATTTCATAGTCACCACTGACAACACTGTGAGATTATCTGCCTTTTAAAGTTCCCCTTTTGCACTTTAGTTGTACACATGCTGCTAACAGCACACCTAAATAAAACTCAAATTGTTGCTGCTGTTAAAACCTTAGCTTCTGCTTGTCAAACTTCAGAAGAAGGAGATGGTTTGTTAGTTGAAGAAATCAGGGTTTATAATCAAAAACAGACTAGTCATTTAGGTTGTGAGGGAGAAGAAAATAGAAATGCAGAATCACAGGAACCTGAAGTTCAGATTTCACAAACTTGACTTAGGTTTTCATTTTCCAGAAAGAGAACAATATGTGCAGCCGTGTGTGATTTACTGTCTGTGGGATATTTTCCCCCAAAGTATATTTTTTAACAATCATTAAACTTTTTTACTTGACGGAATGTGGAGAATACTGTGGTCTTCTCCATAAATGAAGGGACCTTTTGTGGTTTTAGTATTTCCTCTACATTTTGAAAGCCATTTTCTGCAGTAATAGCCATTCTATTGGTTCTGTGTTTAATCAGTATCTGAGGTGCTTGTTAAGGATGCTTAAAACTTTGAAAATAGCTGGTCATATTTTAGTTATGACTAAAATAATATTTTTGAGCATGGGAGGAAAATTTAAGGAAACGTTTTTTAAGGCAGTTTATACTTTTTCCAGTTTGCAATGCAGGTGGAATCAAAACAGTTTAACATATGCTGCACTGAATTTCTAGAAAGGAGTTTGCCTACATAGGCTTTTATCTCTATTGTAACCAAATTTCCTACATTAATTTTCATTAGTATATAGATGATTCCACAAATGTATATATGTATGTATCTAAACAGTTAGAAGTTTTTATGATCCCCAGAAGTGTAGATGTCTGCTTTCTGTTGCTGGTTTAGGAGAGGATGTGCAAAACTAAGTACCTGCTCCAGAGTGTCCTTCCATGGCAGCAACTCCTTTTCTTCTGTTAGCATACATTCCTAAAGGAAAGCATACATGGAGGAATGTGTCATCCAAATTTAGTGCGTTGAAATTTGTCTATGCTAATTAATGATTTTGCACATTTGCTTTCCCAGTGAAGGTCTGCAACAACTCATTATGCACTTCTGCTTTTTCTCCTCCATTTTCAGCATTTTCCAGGTGTTCTTTCATATGGACATCTTTTAAACTTGTATGAAACATTAGGGAACAGTGACATCTCTGACAAATCCAAACGAAATCACTTACAGGATCAGTTCGTCCTCACTGTTATTTATATTTTGTAAATCCTGGCATTAGGGAGTAGATTTGTTCTACTTTGAACAGTAGAAAAGAAATTACATTGATTTGTTTTCACTTTAAGAACTTACTGTCCTCTGCATTACTGCAAAACTAGCTCTTTGTGATAATGTATTGCCTAATTTGACCAGACAAATCAAAGATGATGTGATGCAGAGAAGTGTTAAAGTGGCAAGGTATTGCTAACAGATTTTCTTACTATACAGTAAACTCACACTGATGTTTAGGTTATGTGGTTCAAGTTGTTTACTGACCTTTTATATGAAATAATTCAACAAGGTGGCATTCCAAAAAAGTCATCCATGGGTGTGTCTCCTTTGCTGTAGATGTGTCTTCTGTTGCTTATGGCATTTTTGAATAGGGAAGGACAGTGATAAAGCTGAAAGATTGCTATTGATTTACTCTCTGATTAAACAACTAATTTAGTTTCAGATTTTAAAAATTAGTACTACATATTTCAACTAACTATGTTTTAAAAGATTAGTGTCTCAAATGAGTGTCAGCTGAGTGAGGAAATGAGAAAGCATTATTATACTAGACTATCATTAAGGCATTGGCCTGCAGTTTGTCAGTTTTAAGAGATGAGGAAGGAATTTTTGTTAAGTGTAAAGAGCTGCCTTGCTGTAGAGTGTGTTGAAAACTATTCCTTATGCTCGACCTCGGGTCATAAAAGCTCAGGTATGTACTGGAGTTTTTTCCCACAGTTCACAATGGTTTTTGACTAGACCTACAGACATCCCATCACCTTTGCTGTAAATCTTCTTCCTCCAACTTCAGCCTTTCAAAGTTTTGGAAGTTGTTGTTAGTGACCCAAGTGTCATCTTAACCCTGTTTTCTTTATTCACTAGTGAAGAACAACATCCAATCGCTCCCAGCATTTGCATGCTTGTAAGAATAACTCCATGTCTTTAAATTCTTTGGATTTCATAAAAGCCAACTGAAGCCATCTTCATAGTGTCTGCACAGCTGACAGACTTTCCTGCTGTGCAGAGTAAATGAGAGTAGGCTGTGATGAAGACTGAGGACTCAAACTCAGAATGACCGCAATTTCACATACATCGCATTTGAAAATGTGCCAGTCTCTATGACAGATGTTACTGTTCTTGTGTGGTTAATATAGGTTTGTCTTAAGTTTTTACTACATTATGAAAACCCTCAGGGCGCTTATTTTCTTGTTTTTCTTGGCTGGATGAAAGGTAACACTACAGAATGTTATAGAATTTGGTATTATTGCTTCAGTCCTCTGCTCAGAGAGCTCACTCAAAGTTTCTAAAGCGTTTATTTTTAAGAAGAAAAGACAAGAAAAATTTCTGGAGAGTTCCTGTCTTGCCTTTCCAGTTAAAGAGGAATGTATGCCATCTTTTACAGTGTGTGACACACAATACCTTATTCCAATCTATACATATTCAGTTAATTTCATTCTTTAAGAAATGTAAATACTGCCTATCCAGAAAAAAATTCTGTGATGTTTTCATAGGATGCCTTACATTTCTAATTTTAGGTGAAATTCAGAGGTTAGAAGAAAAAAGAAAATCAGAGTGAGGAAATGGACATAGACTCAAAATAATTCAAATTATCTATCTTGTACTGATTAATTTGCATACAAAACTGAGATGTTGGAATCTGGCAATAAGTTTCTGTAATGCAACACAAGCCTTCAGATGGGTGTTGACCCCTGAAAAAATGCAAGAAGATGATGGTCATGGTGTACAATATTAGTTTTGTACTTTACACTCCCTTGCTAGAGAGACTAAATTCTGAAACAACCTAAAACTTTCCAACTCTACACTGAAGTCAAATGAAGCAATGCCTCTTTTTAGGTCTTTTATATTTGATTACTATAGAAGGCTATATGGCCTTTGTGTTCTTTATTGTAGTACTTTCTTCCTCTGTAAAGAATACTGCCATTAGCTTTGATATATTTTAGTGTGTTTCCTGGCATTGTAGAGACAAGACAAGACACAGGGCAGTGTGAAATTACATGCTCATTTTTTAGCCTGTTCGCTGTTTCCTTTTAGTTTTAAGACTGTAGATTTATGGGAAAACAGATGGGCCATACAGTCGTCCTTTTATGATCAGTAGGAATTATTGTGAGCTTACTGAGCTTCTCATCTGATATCTGTAATGAAAGTTAGTTTCTCTAACTAACGAAGGTGTTAAAGTTCAGGGTCTCTAACTATGGAATAAAAAATCAGAATCCCTTATTATCCAGTTTTCTTTCTAGTGCCCACCTTCATTCAGTGATCATACGTCTGCCAAGCAGCAAGAACAGTGTTTCCCAAAGTAGAAATAGAGGCAACTGCTGATAGTACATAAAGTCAGAGAATGGCTTGAGTTGAAAGGGGCCTCAAAAACCATCAAGGTCCAACATCCCTGCTGTGGGCAGGGACACCTTTCATTAGACCAGGTTGCTCAGAGCCTTGAACACCTGCAGGGATGAGGCAACCTCACTTTTCTCACAGTGAAGAATTTCTTCCTAATATCTAATCTAAACCTACTCTCTTTTTAAAGACATTCCCTCTTGTCCTGTCACAACATGCTCTTGTAAATAGTCTCTCTTCATCTTCAGGTACTAGAAGGCCACAATTCAGTCACCCTGAAGCCTTCTCCTTTCCAAGCTGAGCAATCTGAATTCTCCCAGCCTTTCATCATAGGAGAGGTGCTCCATCCCTCTGATCATCTTGGTGGCCCTCCTCTGGACTCACTCCAACAGGCCCATGTCCTTTCTGTGCTGAGGACCCAGAGGTGGATGCAGCATTCCATGTGGGGTCTCACCAGAGTGAAGTAGGGGGGCAGAATCACCTCCCTTGATCTGCTGCCCACACTGCTTTTGATGCAGCCCAGGATACCATTGGCTTTCTGGGCTGCAAGTGCACAATGCTGGGTCATGTCCAGCCTCTCATCCACCAGCACCCCCAAGTCCTTCTTAGAAGGGCTGCTCTTAACCTATTCAGTCCTCAGCCTGTATTGATACTGGGGTTTGCCCTCACCCAGGTGCAGCTCCTTACAATTTGTCCTGTTAAACTATATAAAATTCCCATGAGCCCGCTTTTTGAGCTTGTCCAGGTCCCTCTGGATGGTAACCCATCCTTCAGGAGTTGTCAAACATACCATCCACCTTGGTGTCATCTGCCAACTTGCTTAGTGTGCACTTGATCCCTTTGTCTGTGTTATTAATGAAGATACGAAATAACATTGGTCCCAATACAGACCCCTGAGGGATATCACTTATCACTGATGTCCATTGGGACTCTGAGCCATTGTCCACTACCCTTTGGACACAACTGTCCATCCTCATTCTTCTAACAGTTCACTCATAAAATCCATCTTTCTCTAATTTAGAGAGAATCATGTTATGGGGACCCTGTCAAAGGCTTTACAGAAGTCCAGATAAATGACATCTGTCGCCCTTCCCTTGTCAACTGATGGGTCACCCCATCTCAGTGTGGTCAGGCAGGATCTTGTTGAAACCATACTGGCTCTCCTGTCCTTCATGTGCCTTAGCATAGCTTCTAGGAGGATCTGTTCTGTGATCTTGCCAGGCACAGAGGTGAGACTGACAGGTTAGTAGTTCCTAGGCCCTTCTTTCTACCCTCCTTAAAGACGGGTACAAAGTTTCCCTTTTTTCAGTCACCTGGGACTTCACCTGACTGCCATGACTTTTCTAATCACATCAGCTTAGCTATCACATCAGCCAATTTGCTCAGGACTCTGGAGTACATTTCATCAGGTTCCATAAACTTTTATGTACACTCAAGTTCCTCAGGTGGTCACAAACCCTATCTTTACTCACAGTGGGAAGCACTTTGCTCCCCCAGTCCCCATCCTGCTGTCCATCCACTTGACAGGTGTGGAAAGAGAGGTTGCCATTGAAGACTATGGCTAAAATGTTGTTGAGTACCTCAGCCTTCTCCTTCTCCCTCATTACCAATTTTCCAGCTTTGTTTACTGGGAGGGATACACCTTCTTAGATATTTTTTTTCTGATTAAAATACCTAGAAGCCCCTGTTATTCTTTGAGTTCTTTGCCAAGTTCAGTTCCAGCTTTGCCTTGGCCTTCCTCACCCCATCCCAACACAACAGAAATTCGTCTCTATACTCTTCCCAGGTAACCTGTCCTTGTTTCCACTGCTTGTGAATTTGCTTCTTTTCCTTTCCTATGGCCAGCAGGTTCCCACTCAGCCATGTCTGTCTCTTACTTTCCTTGGCCCATTTCTTGCTCCAAGACAGACATGAATCTTTCTAAGAATGAAAACATAGCCATTACACAGATGGAAGCAAATAAACATGCAATTACTTTGTATAATGTCTGAAATGTAACTTTTAAGCTACTTGTGACTAATACAGGAGATATCCTCTGTGAAAATGCTCAGTAGAGAGGTAGAAAAACAAGTCTGCTGTCAGTAGAACAGATTTAGGTCTGCAAGCCTCACAGGCTTTTAAACCTATGGGATCAATTTATAATCTACATTTGGCTTTTAGCATAGACTTTTTTCCCCTATTTGGCAGGAATAGCTGAGGAAGAAGTCTTCATTTAATCAAGGATAAAATCCACTCATTCATTATATGGAATAAAACCACAATGTACCATAAGACACAGATGGAGATTTTCATATGGTAATGAAATTTTATATAAGGTGTTTGAATGTTTGTTAAGGCACAATATGTTAATATAGTTTTCAAAAGATTTAAAAATAATCTTGCAGACCTTTAAAGCTATTTTGTGGTTTCAGAACTTTTGGCTTGACTTACTGTATCATAACTGATGTAATGAAAGAAAATAGAATGAGATGCTTTTAAAAATACACAGAATATTTGGAATATTTTTCAGTATTTAAACTGGTTTATAGTTGCAGAAATCCAGGCTTCTGGACACAATTTGAGTTTTAGTGTCTGCCACAATCTGTCAGTTTTATGGGGTTACTGGAAATAATTTTTCCTTACTGGTGGATGCATTCCTTTCTTTTTTGTCCAAATAATTTGAATTGTTGACACTACTGGTTTTCTTTTTTTCAAGTTACTTCATTCAGCAGGTTTTTCCTTTCTGTAAGTCAGTCTAGATGACTGTGAAACTTTTTGATATTATTCATCTTGCTAAAAAGTCATTTTGTGTCCCATGGGGATTATTTTACTTAACTACAATAGCTTTTTAAAATTTACTATAGTGTTGTCATATTTCAAGTAAGCCTGTTACCCTGGATTAATATTAGTGTTAGTTCTAGATTTAGAGTTAACCAGTTTGCAGTTAAAGACTTTGAGGTTAAGTGATGTAGTAACTGTCTCATTATCAAACTCTAGAATTGCTGGTTATGCAAAATGCAAGAAAAAAAGCAGTAGTAATGCATTCTCATTTTTCTTGAGCTATCATTCTTCTCTCACAAAGTGCAGGCTGTGATTCAGCTTAACCTTGCACATATTTAACTTTGGACATCATGGTTTGTCCCATCAACTGCAGTGATCGGAGTAGGAAAGGACCTACTAGTTTCCCAGTAGGAAAGGACCAAAAATTGCTGCTCCTCTTTTGCCTTTCTCCAGCAGTCATCTTCTCAGTGCTGTCAGACTTTTCCAGCATGCTAAGTTTGTACTTTTTGTCAACTCACTGTCCTTGTATGATTTGAAGTCAGTGATGCTGGTCTTGTGTGCTTTGTCACCTGTGATGTAACTCCTCTGCATGTGTATTGCCAAATAGACACATTTTTATAAAATTAGCCTTCACTAATAGGTCTACACTACAGGTCTAGTTGTGGTATCCTTCTCTTGCTGTTGTTCACACGTCTTCTTTTGCTTTTGTGTGGTGTGATAGTGATGTGGTATGGTGAAGTGATGCTGCATATTTGTTACAGAATTACAGGAGTGTGTATGTTTCATTAAAATTATCAGCTTCTCCTGTATAATTAAAAAAAAAAATCTAAGATAATTTTACAGCTGTAAATGTCCAAGAATAAGTTTTTGGCACTATACTGCACATCAAGCTATGATAAAAACTTCAATTGATTGCTTAGTTTTGTTAAACCACTGCGGTTTCTAGTTTTTCAAGGATTTATTTGTGGCAGCTAAAAAAGTTTGATGGAATGATATTATGAAACTGTCGTGTACATCACTGAGGATGAGAGCTATGTGCAGGAGCTTTATGACTGAGAAACTTGTAATGAGTAAATTAATTTAGAAGACTTTGCATCTGGCAGTTCACCAAGGCTTAGCAATTACCCATGTCATCAAAATATATTTTCATTTAAATACAAAAAGTTTCTCTGGCATAAGTGACAAGCTTCTCTAAACCAAGGTCTTATAGAGAGTATCCATTTCAATAAAGTCAGCTTCAGTAGTGGTGTGTTACTAATGATCATCTTAGTTTTTCAAGCTGTGCAGTAAAGATAAATAAATTGTATGAAAGAACGAAAGCCTTAACTATGTGAACGAGGTACTAAAAAGCACTTCCAAAAGCTGTTGTTGATGACAGTAATGGAAGTAAAGCAGTAAGACTTAACATATATTTCCATTTAAATGCAGGAAACGAAATTTCTGTTTTGTTCCAAACATATTTAAAAACTTTTTCCCTTGACAGAGCTGCAAATGGATGAATAAGCACTGGCCATGACCTCAGTGGTGAACTCAAAAGTGTGCAGGGGTTATTATGCCAGCCTGCATTATGCCAGGCTGTGCCAGCAGCTACACAAACTGTATTGTCTAATCACACAAGCTTGATGGTCCTTTAAACCTTGGAACAGACTGGGATTTATGTATAGATATTGTCCTGGGGAAAGTGCAGAGGGCAAAGAGAATTTCATGGTCATAAGCTAGCTCAAAAAGACACCCGTTTTAAAATAAACTCCTGTAGTTCTTAGTGTTAATGCAGTTATGATGTGTTTTCTATTTTACTTGGGCAAAAACTCCCAGGTATGCCACCTAACGTATTGATGAAAGGCAGGACATTTATCTGCATTTGTGGTGCCTGTCCCATGGTGTACACTTAGGGCATGCATCAAATACATAGTTGTTTGCACTGATCTTGCCATCTTCTTTTCAGTTCCCCTTAGTTTGTTTCAAGGATCTCAACATCCAACCCAGTTTCTCAGGGGTTTCACTGAGATGTGATCCTGTTTTTTGGAAGTCTTTTTAAACTTTAAAACTCTTATTTATTGCAGGGCAGAACTGTGGATTCCTGCCACTTGTGATGTCTCATGTTTACTATTATGCTGTGCATAGTTAGCAAATATGGATTTGGGTGCCTAATACCTGACCACTGACAGAAATGTTGAGATGCAATGTTAATATGTATTCTTCATTCCTCTGTGAATAGCCATATAATCTTAATGCTCTTGTGTGAATTCTGTGACAAGCATACACTGTCTTCAATTTGAAGAACTTGTCTTTTTTTTTTTTTTTTTTTCTTTAGACGAGCCTCATAATTACCCTTCTGTGCCTGCAGAAAAGGCCCACAGCATCTGTAACTCTGGCAGCAGCATGGTATTTCCAGGCAGGCGGGGTGGGGAGGCAGTCCATGGCTTTGTCTGAGCAGCTGAGAACTTCATCTGAGCCATGCCGGTGGTGTACAGTAACACCGACCTGTGCCATCGGCAAGGAAAGCACTGAGCAAGTGTTGGGGCCAGTATTTATAGACCACTACGTAGCAGTCCTGGAGAGAGAGACAGAGAGTGAGTGCGAGAAAAATCTTGGCTGAACTGAGAGCAATTTTATTTCAGGTTCCTGTTATTTAAGCAACATTAAATAAAATCCTCTTTTTGAGTTTAATCTTCTCTCTGAACCATAGCAGTCCTGCTTCACGTTATGACCAGGTGGAAGCAACAGATTTAAAACAAGACATTTGGGGGTAAGTAATTGATTCAGTATCACTTTTACCTCCAGTGTCCCAGCCAGCTTACTGCCCTTTGAGGACGCTGCATCGAGAGCTCGGTGTTGTAACTGAGGCGTAGTGTGTCTTTTGCGTAAAGATGTTCTGCTTGAGGGGATTTTGTATACAGTTACAGAGGGATATCGTGTGGTTTCTTCATTTAGCAACATGCTTGAAAAGGTCAGTCAGCATCAGAAAAGAAATACACA